GATACAACTAAAACTGTTGAAATTCATTACTGAGAAACAGAGGTAGCCACCTACTGAACTTGAACAATGATTTTGTTCCATTAAAAAGTAATAAATGCAAGAAGTTAGGCAAGATCTTGTAAGCCTTATTTGTGTCCAATGGGAAGAAATCATGTACTACTTTTCAGTAGCTAATTATATCGGGGATGAAGTATAGCGTTTGTCCCCTGCTGCTCCTCAAGATTGGTTCATTTAATTCCTGCAAGGAAGCTGATTTTCCTGCTTTGCATGACTATGCCTCCCCTTTAGGGATTATTTTGCAGGATACTGTAACCTTTAAGGTTTGCATGTATTCTTTTACACTCTATGCTAGTTGGCTGGGATCCAAAGAACTATACAACTATTCCTGCATGCCTAAAAGACTTAAGAGCTCCTATTTCTTGAACAGCAAGCCAAACTGCAAATGGAGAACCTACTTTATAAACTAAATTTCAAGCATAAATATTAAAAATCCCACCGAACATGCTTCCAAGAACCTGGGCACACCTGAAGCAGCTTTTTGGAACCCAGTACACGTGTGCTTTTACACGTGCACATGTATGCGTGACCCTGGAAAGCTGCCAGCCGGATGGATAATTGCGGACAATTAATTTACTTCCTACGATCCAACTGCTTGGATCCAAAGAACTCAAGCTTCTGCTTGTGCAAAAGTGTCTTTCCCATGCCCCGTCTTGGATGCAGCCACTTGCATCCTTCGAAAAACCACCCCCAAGGGTTTGTGAGGCCCGCCAGAGCGGTGCACTGCAACACAGACCGGGGCAGCTATGAAGGGCTGCTGCTGATAACCTGTGAAAAATGCCAGCTGTGCACACACAGACAGTGCTGCTTGGACGCTGTTTGAACAAGCTCACTTTTTGCTTCTGTTCCATTCTCCTTGAAACTTAATGACTGTAACGAGGGCACAAAGGCCTATTCCACTCCCGAGAAGCTCTAGAGCCGCATTCCAGTGGTCAGTGGGTCCAGGAGTAAAAGGGGCGGACCCCAAAACACCAGCCTATTTTATCTCAGAGCTCTTACTGCTTAGGAGGCACATTTCAATCCTTTAAGAAAGGGGTCTGGGTAGATGAACTGCACTTGTACACTGAGAAACCTTTCAATTCCAGAATGAGAAGCACAGGGCTTCTCTCGGAAGCCTGGCTGCAGTGTGGGCCATCAGAGAGTTCTTAATTCCACCTAAGTTTTGATACTTGATACCAAGTACCAAGAGGTAAAATAAGGTTGATACCAAGAGGTAAAATAAGGTCGAACAGGAAAAAAATCTGTCAGAACCTGTTTGGAGGAAAATTCCCTGGAAGAACGGAAGGAGAGCAAGGAATCTGCATGATGTGGATACACACATGGGCCAGTTGAACAGGGCTAGCTGCCTCCATGAGAGGGTCATTCATTCCTGGCAGTGGGGGCTTGCTGTGTTAGCAGAACAGCTCTGCAGAGACACCTGCTGCCGGCACAGGGAATCAGAATGAGCAGCAAACCAAATTACACATGGCAAATTACTCTGGACTCACAGGGGAAGGGGCTGCAAGACCAAGTGACATGCGATGGCCCCGCTGTTCAGAAGTGGCTAGAGGATGAACATGCCTGACCAGATTGGTATCCTCTGTTCTCCTCTCCCCTCCAAGGGAAATCCAAAAGGGCTAGCGATGCCACTTATGACAATACATTTAAAAATGGGCATATAGGGAAACAGAAGCCTGTAGTTGGCCCAAATGCTTGTTTAAAGCTATTGCTTTAAAAGTACTGGTCATGTTAATCAATGACTGCAAAAACAGCAAAGAAGCTTTGCTGTTGAACAGTTCTTCAGCCAGAATGAATATATTAGAAGCCACTGGGCACCTGGTTATTTAAAAGAAGAAATGATTTGTATGTAGTTGAAAAGGATAGGGTTTCGACAGGCCTCTTCTGGGAGAGCTTTCCTGATCTGGACCGCCACCATCAAGAGAGCTGTGCCCCTGGGCAGCAGCAAATTTTAGTTCTTAGATGGCACGTGAAGGGTGACTTCTCGCACTGATTCTCACAGCCAGAGGAGCAGAGCGCTGCTGGGAACTGCAGTTTGCCTCTAGACCTCGCCCTGGGACCGAACCAGGAGAGTGGCACGCGGTGCTGGGGGGCGGGCTTGGGAGCCTCCATCAGGGCCAGGCAGGAACACAGGGATGGCACACCAGCTCCTGGAAGAGCCAGGCAGAAGGAAGGCACTGGGCCAACTGGATTTCTGAGCTTATCACACCTTCCACGTTTATGTTCCGGTAGAGCCACCTGAATGCACCCCAGGCCTTGACACAATCCAAGCTAAAGGAGACCAGCTCGCCACTGCATCCCCAGAGCTCTCTACAGTTCACAGAGAGCTTGCAGTGATCACTCGTCAGGAGAGAGAGGGGGCAGTTGCCGTGGGTGAATCGGCAACTGCAGACACTTTCCATTAATGGTCTGACTCGGTGTCTCTTCCCCACCCAAAAGCAAAATGGTAGCCAGATCACACACAGGAACTGTAGCATTTGAACAGTCCATCCTACGGAGGATTTCTGCAGCAGGGATGCTGGATGCCAGAGCCTTACTCTTCAGGAAGGAGGCAGAAGGCAAATCAGAAAGGCTAAACAACTTTCACTCATCAGATCACCCACGGTCATCCCTCTTCTCTTTGGCAATGTCAAGACAAAGACCCCACGAACTGCATAAAAAAGGGGAGTGGTGAACATATGTAACTGTGCTGAGTCCCCAGCCCATTTGTCCCAGCGATGCCCCATTGGGTTGAGCGTGGCTCAGGCAAAAAACTTTTTCAGGCAAAGGAATTACAATTCTTGTTTTTCCAAGTTACTCATATAAACAGCTTGATTATTAACCATCCTTGATCTGACACTTCCCAGATACTTCATTCAAATAATGTTCTCCTAACAAACTTCTGGAAACTTAATTCATTACTGGAAAGTTAGATTATCTCAAAACTGCAGAGAGAACTCTCAGGTGGTGGGGATTCCGCAAAATGCGTTCTGGCATTCTTCAGCTCTCCTAAGTAAAAGACTGCATCTTCATCCATAAAGCCAAGAATCCTCTGAAGGCTTCACAATTGACCCATCCATCCATCCATTTATTGTTCCATTGCTACAAGAGCTTAAGGTGGTATACACACAAACCTCCCCATCTCCATTTTTAGTCTCACAACAACCCGGTGAGGTAGGGCTGGTTAAGTCTCAATGACTGGCCCAAAGCCACTCCGTGAACTTCAGGACCAAGCGTGGATTTGGACTAAGGCTTGGAGGATCTGGGTTCAGTATGCAATCAACAACAGCACACAGGCTCTCCGAAATTAACCGGTTCCACTAACGAGTATACCTTTCTACTAAATACCTCCCGTTAGCAGAGCCTCAACATCCAACACTCTACACCCTCCATCTCTGCAAGTGGATCCCTCTTATTGCAAAATGCTTTCTCTACCTCTGCAGGGGGGCCTCTGAGCTTCCTTAATTAAGGAAGCTCACAGCTGCAGCCCAGCACATCTGGAGGAAAGCTGATCGTGACAACCTCCTCCTAACTGTGCTGCCAGCAGGCGGATCAGCAGTGACAAACACTCCTTGAGAATGGCAGCTGGCCTGCCAACAGTGAAGGTTCGGCTACCGGGCCAGCGTCTCACTGCATGCTGGGAATGAAACAGGCAGCTGTTCCTGGCACGCATTTCAGGCCAGGATGACACAGACTCCTTGGATGAGAAGGGTGAGCCCTGGAAAACAGGGCCTCCAGACACAGAAAGAGGCAGGTGAGCTTATCTCAAGGCCTCTATCTCCAGGTGAGGACAGTCGACGTCTGCGACTGCCAGAAGGGGACATGGGACAGGAGCCTGGCACAACCCCTGACCCAAAGACATGGCATCGGGACAGAAGGGCTAGCCCGTTAGAGGGGCTGCGTACAGCTAGGCGGCTTGCCCAGCTGCAGAAGGGAAGTCCCAGAGGGGTGAGGCCCAAGGTTGCTCAAGAGGAGGGTTCTTGGAAGTAGTTCCTCTTTTGGGATCAATGCACCACTCTGCATGCTCAGAGACCCCTTCATTGGTTCATGTTACAGTTTGCTGGGTGAACACTGGAGAATAAAGAACTTTTGCCAAAGTTTGGTCTGTTGTTTTAAAAGAGAGAAGAGGGAAACCTAGCTCCTGACAGTGTGAGCAAGCCGGCATGCACCCTCGATTGAAACAGTACCTGGACAATAAACTTTCAGCCAATGTGCAGGTATGCATCTCCAACACATGAGCCTACAGCTAAGTGAAAACAGCTTCCGGAAGGCAGGAAGCCTGAACAGGATCAAAAGGCAGTTGCTGGTGTGATTGCCCAATTCACCGTTTTAGGTCTTCTACTGGTCTAAGAAGTTGCAAGCACTTGTGTCATATAGAACTCTGTGTAACTGCGCCAGACCTGGAACCATCTTCAGCACATGGCTGAAGCGCAGCCGACGCACCGCTGAGGCGAAGAGCCGATTCACACATCTGCAGCAGTGCAGGAACTGCTCCCATGTGCCACAATCATGCACTGCTCATGAGGCGGTGCTCTCACTCGCATTAAACCTGCTCCCACTCGCAACTGAAGATAGATAAGCCCATACTAGCCTATTCTGAGGAAGAGCTCTGATAAAGCCCAAATACGAACAAGTGCTTAAACTTTGCATGCTTTCTCCTGCCCTCTCATTCCAATGCAGCACTCAGGTGATTCCACAAGCAACGAGATGCCACCACTTGGGAAAGCAGGCATCATAGTCCCCGCAAGTATCTTATAAACAAGCCTCCTGACATAACGGAAACATCATCGAGGATCTTCAAAAAGATGACGCTCCATGATCTGAAAGAACGTTTTACGGCTGCCTTGTATGTTTGACATAACCCTGCAATTCTACAGCACAGCAGACATGAAGCGTGCGTACAGTACAAAAAGCACGAAGACACCCGTTAGCAGATGCCGCAGAAGAGACGGAAGCCAAAGTCATACCTGAACAAAATGAAGCCCAGCGATTCAACGGCTGCCCTCCTGACATCATCGTTGACATCGCTAACCTATCAAAAAGGAAAAACAAGATGCTGTGCTCAGGGCAACAGGTGGCAACCATCTCACCTGCGCTCTATGTTTCCAAAAGGCAGGCAGGCAGGCAGGCAGGCAACCGAACTGTGTGTGTTGTCACAAGTGTGAGTCCGCATACTTACAGCAACATGTAGCAGACGCCTGATGGCCTTGTTGTTTCCTGAGCCACAGTAAGCCATCGCCACGGTATACATCCCCGAACGACGCAGGATGGGATCCTGCAAGAGGCAGAGAATACTGCGATTTGCAGGGCTATTTCAATGGGCTGGGGCAAGGGGGCTAGAGACTGGGGGACCAAGAGGGAAAGAGCCACAGCCCAGGGTAAGGCTGCTGCTTTGTAAGCAGAAGAACTCCAGCTGTATTCTTGGCATCTCCAGGTAAGGCTGCAGAGACCCAGGCCCCAAGTCCCAGACAGCCGCTGCCAGTTGGTGCAGACAACCCAGCATGAGACAGGCCAACGCTCTGCCTTGGGACAAGAAACTGGATAATTACTTATTTTTGGAACAAGAAGCTGGTAAATTGGCAAAGATATATGTAATTTTCTACATTTTGTGGCTTGTTAATCCTGCAAAAGTTGTTTTCTCCAACTGTTCAAATACCAAAAAAAGAAAAGAAAAAAGCACAAAACTGAACTACAACACTTTGCAAGTATGTTGAAAGCAGAAGGTTAGAGTGCAGTTTTTCTGATGTGCACTTGGAGAAGACGACTTCTGTTAAAAATTAAAATGCCAGCCCCGATTCCATGCAAGTTACAAGAAAACCCGCAGGTTGGCTAGACCATTTAAAATGTATTAAAGCAGTCTGGAGTTCTAGCGAGAAACCATTCTGCTCCAGAGCCACCTCAGTATCCAGATGTTCAAGTTAACCTCACCAGTCTCTGAAATAAAGAAATACTTTCACTGCAACTAAATGCTCAAGTTTAGCATAGCAATACAATAAGCTTGAGACGTTCATTCAAAGTTAAAGCCTTGGGCTGCCTAGCAACAGAATACTATAAATTATGCATCACACAAAAGTCAAGTTGCATAAAAATTAACACATACCATAAGCAGACCCAAAAGTGAACGTACAACAGCCTTCCCCAAGGTTGGAGGGTTGATTTGGAGTGCAATCCTATGTAGGCTTACATTGCAGAAAATGCCTACAACTCCCAGCTAGGGGAACATACTGTAGGGAAGGCATGCTGGGAGCTGTAGGGCATTTCTCCTGTTAGGAATTGGTGGCATGTGGCAAGAACTTCCTTTTTGAAATCGTAACCCAGCTGCAAACTCAGATGAATTTATGCAAGGCACTGATCTTTATGCCACGGTCACAATTCCTACAATATGAGGATAACACTGACCTACTCTAAAGGGTTATTGTAAGGGTTATTTATTTAAATGTTATTTTAATTGTTAATATTATTTATTCATTTTATTCTTTGGCCAGGGCGACTTCATTTATATTGTTAATTTATGTTGTTTTATTGAATATATGCCCTCCCGCCCCTTGAAATCAGCAACGGATGCCCTTCTCCGGGAACCCTCTGTGAATATTAGGAGGGCGAGTACCCGGAGGAGGGCCTTCTCTGCGGTGGCGCCCCATCTATGGAATGCGCTCCCCAGAGAGGTCCGCCTGGCACCGTCGTTATTTGTTTTTCGGCACCAGGCTAAGACATTTTATTTAAAACTTATTTTAATTGCAAAATTATTGAATTAATTAGAATTTTAAAATTAGCCGAGAATGCACCGGGGGTTTTTAAATGTTTTTTTTTCTTTTAAATTGATATATTACTATTATTTATGTATGTTTTTATGTATTCTTTGTGAGCCGCCCCGAGGCTTTGTTGCGATGGGGGCGGCATAGAAATGTTTTAAATAAATAAATAAATAAATAAATAAATAAATAAATAAATAAATAAATTCTATTTATTTATGGTTTGTGAGCCGCCCCGAGACTTCGGCGAATGGGGCGGCATAGAAGTCCCCTAAATAAATAAATAAAATAAGGCTGACAGAAATCTTTGCCAAGGGCCTTGACCTGCACGTTAATAAACATGGTGAAATACTTTGCTCGGGAGCTTCCTTAGGAGGGAGTGCGTAACACAAGCTGCCATGTGCTTGGTGCCACGCCACCCGAGCCATTTCTGAAGCGGGAACCGTGGGGGCAGGAGGGGCTGAGACCAAAAGGACCATTTTTCAGGAAACGAGGTGCTCACCTTATCTCTGCAGAGGCTCTCGATGAGCGCATCCGCCTCCTCCATCCTCCCGTACATCACCAAGGCGATGCCCACGGCCAGTCCACGCAAGATCTTCTCGTGCTGGGTTTCTTGGGCATAGCCCACCATATCCTCAATGGCCTGAGCGTTTTTCGATCCTAGCATCACCAGCCCCAGAGCCAAACCGGCCGCCTCACCTTTAGTGCAGGAAAGAAGAAAGAATACGTGGCCCGTGCCATCTGTTCTCTGCCTCGCAGGAACACAGGCTGGTGGTCTGGCCAAATACTGGCATGCCAACAGCCAGCAACCCCATTTTTTGTCTCTAATGTTCAGGACCGGTTACAGCCCAAGAGCAAAAGTCCTCAGATCATAAAGCCGTATGAAAACTTTTGTGATTGTCAAACCGCAGACACCTGCCCCGCCAGGTGGTCCTCCAGGCAATAATGAAAAATTAGGGCCCTTTCTAAGGCAAGCAGTGATCAATTATTAATTAAAACTCAGTGCTTTCCCCACTGCAGTGCTTCTGAACCAAATTTGCTCCCAACAGGGCAGAGCTAGGATACAAAACCGCCCCAGATTTATTTCAAAAACCTCCCAGGAAGTCTCCCACATGGCAACCTTCAAGCAAGAAAATGTGGTAGACCTCAAAAGGAAAGCAAACAAACTTTATGACACTTAATTTAAGAACTGGGGCTAGCAGCCAGCATTTTTAAATGTGAGGTTCTTTGCACCATCAGAACGGAATGCTAGACTAGACAGAATTCTGATCAATCTAGCAGGTCTAGAGTATTTTATTATTTCCTGAGTAAACAAAGTTATAACCCTGAGGCAGAAAGCTAACCTGCTCCTGCCCCAGCTGCCCCCAAATTCATCTCTCCTAGCACCCCTTCAAGGCATGCACAAAGGCGTCTGTCTGTGCTCTACTACTTCAGGTCCAAGTTCACACGACTGAATGTATTTTCACCGGAAAACCCCTGGCAGCAGAAATCTAGCATGCCAAGAAGAAGGGTTCTCGGTTAGCCTTTGCTAGCTTTCTATGCAGAGAAACCATTTTCCCTAAAGATACTTTCAGTCTTCCCCCCGCCCCCTTTAGGGTAAGCTTGCAGGCTCACCATGTCAGCAACCACAACTCCTGCCCGCCCCCCACATCCCCGCCAGCAATCATTTGAAAAACGACTGCTTACCAGTCACTGCGTCATCCTGGTACAAGTTGGTCTTCAGAAGGTCGTACACATCTTGCCGTGCAGTCCCCATGGCAGCCAAGCCAAGTCCCAGGCTACCCCCGTGCCGGACAATCTGCCAAAAATCGAGGATGGTTTGCCCTCTGAGAACCAGCTTCTCATGGCTCCAGGCAGAACACAGCCACCTCTGGTACTGAGAAAGCTGCTAGCCAATCCCATTTTTATCTTAGCATTCATACTGCTGCACGTTCTCCAGAATGGAAATACTCTCCTTGCTCTGCTGAAACTACACAGTGGTTTAATACAGACAAGAACTTGTGCAGAATTATATTTCCATTAGTTTTTCCTCTTTCCCTGTGATGGAATTTTCAGCCGTTGAAAAAACACAGTGTGGATTTTTAATGAGCACTGTGAGACTGCATGCATTTTGCCTTGGGACAGTGCATTCACTTGGGGCATTTACCCTTCGATACCCTGTCCTCCAATAAAATTCCTAGGCCCGTGAACACAATTATGCGTACCCAGGGCTTTTTTTGTCAAAGAATGCAACGGAACGGTGTTCTGGCACCTTTTTTCAATGGATTTTATGTGATTTTATTTCAATAAAATCACGTAAAATCCATTGGCGTAGCAGATCAGCAGCAAACATCATTAACATGATAGTGAGAGATAGCTGCTCAGCTTGGGATTGGTGTGCGTGCTTACTGCCGGGGCGACGTGAGTTCCGACACTTTTTTTTTTTTTTACAAAAAAAGCACTGTGGGTACCACATCAGAAACCCCAAGGCCACCCTGCTCCACCAGGCATTCCCTGGCAAATCATATGAAACAGGGCATACGTCATTGCTGGCATTCTTCAGCTGGTTGAGCAAGTAGTCGATGATGTCGCCTCCATGATTGGCGTGGATGAGTCCCAGGGCATAAAGTCCACCACCTTCCTGATAGGCTGACCCGGGGGACGTGTCTTTGGGCAGGTATGTTGCCATTAACTGAAGAGCTTCCTTTTCATGACCCTGGAAATAAAGAGAGTACAGAAAACATAGGAAGAGCCCACCATGCCTCCTTTCTAATGGCCTTCAGCCAAGTGGTAAGGTTTCTGTTTTAGGAAGGCATTTGGGTGCTAAATTCTTTTTTCTTTGTTTAACACTCTCTGGTTTTTAAATTTCATTGTGTTGTATTCTGCAATTTTCTGCTGCTGCTTGAGTGTTTAATTGTTATTTTTCTCAGGGCTGCTTTAAATTGTTAGTTTATTGCTTCATCATGCAAGCTCCCTTGAGTTCTGGGAAGGGAAGGGAAGGGAAGGGAAGGGAAGGGAAGGGAAGGGAAGGGAAGGGAAGGGAAGGGGCCTGCTTCATCAGACCAGAGGCACAATTTTCAGTATCAACCTCTGAATATACCTCAGGAATAACTACCGGCTGAGAAAGCAACAGTCCATCCACAACCCTTCCCAATACATATCTCCTCTGAAAAGGAGGTTCCATTTACCTAACATGGCTAATAGCCATTGAAAGACAGTTCTATGTTTTTAGAGTATCTCCTTTTAAAGCCAACTAAACCTCTGGGTGTTACCATTCCGTGTAGTAGCAAATTCCGTAAGAATTATACATGAAGTACTTTCACTTTGTCTTTCTTGAAGCTATTGCCAAAAAAACCCTTTTATTTGCTGCCTCTACATAATTTGGAAAGGTCAGAACTTCTTGTGCTTTACCCAAATTGTTATGTGGCTCCAGTTGGCCTCCTCCCTTTGCTCTACTCGAGGAATCTCCTCCCAGCGAAAAGTCTTACAGAGGATCATTTTCACCACCAATTCTAAACCCACTTAATATCATGGAATGCAATGCTCCTTGGATGTTTTGTTTAGCTTCAAGGGAAAAACAAGCACAGAGGGATACGGTTCCTTTGCTGCACGGCGCAAGCGCCTTAACATGAGCTTAGCGAAAGGGTTTAAGGCTGCAGTTCTGTACATACTTATATGGGAGCAAGTGAACAGAACTTGTTTGGGGGGTAGAGATGCAGTGCATTCCACTGCACACCACCTTCTGGACTGACTAACCACCATCATCTCATAGGATCCAGTCTTGCCTGCAGAAGCAAAAAGCTAATTGCAGCCCGCCCTTCAAATGCAACCTTTCCTGCCTTGTCTTACAGAGGGCCACCCTAGCAGGAGTAAGGCTTACATGCATGGAAAGGACACTAGGAAAACTTAATACAGTTTCCTAACACACACACACACACACACACACGGCACACCAGATGCTTTGGAACTCCAACTGACCCCCCAGCGGTGACTATACTGATGGAGCTGAACTGGAAGGTCCCAGGGGCCAACCCTGACCAACAGGGTGCAGACCCAAGCACCTGTCCTTCAGACAACACGTGAAACACCGAGGCTGGGGCAATGCATACAGACAAAGAGGGGTGCATGAAACATGGCTGTGTGCAGCATGTTCGGCTGAGGCTTGTGCAAAGGAAACACTGAAGCAACCCGGGCAAGGCTAGGATCCTGACAACCAGTTCAGGAACCATCAGGGACCATTTTAGTGGAGCTGTATGTTGAGTTTCAGGTTAAGGCATCTCTACCGCTTTATACTTTTAGGATTAGGAGGAAAAAACTGTATTTGATCTCTGCCATTCAAAACAAAATTCTTTCAAATTAATGCAAGTTAAACCAAACTGTAACACTTTGCTATCTCTGCCTTGGATTATCCATGATTCCTTTTAGTTTGCTCTTAGTTAATTTGCATATTCTGTTACTTTACAAAATGTCCATTTAATTGAACGTATGATAAACAAAAAACAAAAAACAGTTCTTCAAGACCTACTTCCAACATGATGGGTCAGACCCAGGCTACCTTGGACGAATTTCATTTCCGCTGGGGTTAATTTGTCAGTGATGCCAATGGCAACGGAGTTCAAATAACTAAGCCTGGAATCATCTGTACAATGTACACCAAACTCATCCTTTAGGTGGAACAGTTTCTCTAGTATAAATCATTTAATGCAATGAGCGTCTCAAATTACTCTTCTCAAAACGCTAATCTTATTTTTTTTTTAAACCACCCAGGTTCCTGAATAATCTACAAACTGTAGAAGGGCAAGCCGTGCAGAGAGCCCTCGTGTTATGGGACAGCATACAAGTGGAATGAAACAAGCAAGCAAGCAAGCAAAGGTCCAAAATATGTCTTGCTGTCAACACCACAGAAGCAATCAGTTTCCTCCTGCTCCATACAGTAAAAAAACACTCAAGTGGGATTTCCCCGTGATCACACAGAAAGGGCCGACCCACTGCAGGAGTCTCTCCTAACTGCCAGAGACATCTGGCAGGATAAACATGCTTGCAGCTCTCACATTATGAGGTACACACACGGTACTTACTCATTCTGCAACATACAAAGAAACCCTCCAGTATGAGAATGCATTAGTACGAAAGCAACGTTTCAAGTGCTGGGCCAGGACATGAAGGCCGCAATATCTGTGGTAGTGCAACGAATAATGCAGTATTACCTTATGTATGACGCCGAGGCTGGCTGTAGCAGTAAACTTTGCCCAATTGGTAGCCCTGGCAAGCCACTCCAAATTGTCTCTGCAAAGGAGAAGGTAGGAGTTGAATATATCTCAGGGAAATGAATGATCTCAACCTCCATCTTGCAGAAATAACGGGTAAACTTCCACCCAAGTCCTACTTGAGAGTCTTGACTAGTTAGCCATGACCAACTTAAATCCCATTCATTTCCACTGGTCTACTCTTAGCAGGCCTTACACTGGACATCACGGAGAATGCTTAAACACCAGCACCCACAGACACCGTAAATGCTCTGCTCGACTTTATTTGCTGTAGCAACCTTGGCTCTGGAGTAGGACTCAACGCCACCAATATCCAAAACCAGGAATCTCTGAATTCTGAGCCTATCCCTCTCACACATTCTGCACCAGGGAAAGAGCACTGCTGAACTGAAAATGGAATGGTGCTCTCCAAAAACCTGTCCCCACCTGCTTACTTGCAATAATCTGTTCAACCTGCACGAAACAGGCGCAGTGTGCTTATCTCGACCGCTTTCCCTCCTGCCCTAAGAGGGAGGCTCCGAGACGGGTCGGTAAATGCTCTACGCCTGGGTTGACCAAGAGGGAACTCCTGCTAGCGACAGTGGGCTCAACAGAGCAGGGCTGGTGTCAAGGGGCGGCAGGGTTGGGTACCAGCCAAGGAACGATTCCCCAGCAGGGCCCCCCGAGAAGAGCCCCCAGAATTGCTCCCCTTCCTTGCCACCACAGCCTCTGAGGCTCCCTGGCCGCCCAGCAAGTCGTAATATTGATGATGATGATGAGGAGGAGGAGGAGGAGGAGGAAGAGCAGCTGCTGACAATGGCATTGACAAGATAAGACTCATTGAGCGGGGCGAGTCATGGAGGGTGTCTTGCCCAAAGGAATCTAGAGCGGGCTCTGCCACAGTCAGACCCAACACAGAGGCTGGGCCCATGTGACAGGCCAAGCCAACCTGGCAGCTGGGGGTTCTCCTGTCATGTGAATCCGTACTGCTTCTTGCAGGGAGGTTTTTGGAGGAGAGCAAGCCATGGGCCATTCTAGGGCCTGTTGTACCCATGACACGCTGTTCTGTTCCCTGACCCTCCATACCTGATCTGAATGCACAGGTACTGGGAATCAAAAACCGAGCTGCTCAGAAAGAGTGGCAAGGCTACCACGCTGCTCCTTCCAGGTCCGCCCAGACAACAGCTGCCCTTTGCGAGACCACGACGGCCAGGTGACAGTCATTCGCAATCCCTTGTTTGGGCACCTGCTCTGAAGCGGCTCCATGGAGGAGCTGCCAGTGGGTAGCGAGCATTTCTTGGTGCTGTTCTTGTGCACAATGTGCACAAAATTTTTGCTCTCATTTTTAAAAGATGCATCTAGGCGCCCTTGCGCAACTGTGCAGGAGCACCGCTGGGACAAGCGTGGAAGGAGAATCCTCAGCTGGCAATGCTGGAGAAACACGGCGGGTGCCATTCCTGGCGCTTTTCTGCATGTTTTTCCAACAATCGTCCAAAGGGATGCTCTCCAGGAAAGGCAAAGGAGCAAGTGACGTTGCCACACAAAAACCACGTGGCAAGATTTCCTTGCCCCTTTCCCGCAAGATCCTCTCCTTCCACCCCAAATAACTCTCGGGCTGATGCACGTGTTGCCCGTTTCCCGAGTCAGCTGCCGCTCAGAAAAGCACAACGGGGCCTCCCACCCGCTTTATGCAGGCACAGCCATTGCAGTGGGGAGGAAGAGGGTAAGTCAGTCCTGCCGTGGGGTCTCCTGGGATGCCTGTGAGAGGACGGAGTGGGATGGGGGGGAACAACCCAGGTGAGCCCCTCCAGGCACACTGAGTGGCTTTTTCATACAGCAACAAACCCACTGTGACTTCTTGCCAGGATGGGCTGTGGAGGCATGTGAAGCACCCACCATGTTACAGAGCACAGCTGCAGGAACGGGCAGTAAGGCAGATCAAGTCAAACTGCAAGAACCCAGGTTCAGGCTGGATGCCAGGAAAAGCTTCCTCACTCTCAGAGCAGTATGACAGTGGAACCAGCTGCCCGGAGAGGTGGGGGGCTCTCCCACACTGGAGACATTCAAGGAGAAACTGAGTGGGAGGGCATGAACTGGTGTCTTGCAACAGCAGGGGGTTGAACCCAATGGCTTTCATGGCCCTTTCCAATCCTACTATTCTATGATTCTACAAAATGGAGCAGAAATGCTCACTTTTGTAAATTTTATGCCCCTTGATGATGATCTCTGAACATTCCTAAATGTACAGCTACAAACATGAAACCCAGAGTGTTGTTAAACTCATGTTCTTTTTCTTTCTTTTTAAAAAAGTATTGCATCCAGGTTATTCTTTCATTGCATCCTTACAAACAGACACACCGCTTAACTTTCATTTTATCCCAGTCATAAATGAGAATATTCAGTTATAATCAATCTCATACCAGCTAAACAGTCACTAAGAGTGAACAAGGTTGTGTTAAATTCTGAACTTCCTTGTCCCAACATAAAATGAAGGGAATGAATTCTTTAAAATAAGTTGAACTGTCCTTCTTTGCCTCTAAACTTATCAATTCATCAGCCTCCCAATCTCAAACCCTCACACACCAATCCTGTAAGAGGGAAAGTTAATCCTTGGACAGTTAATTCTTCCACCTACGGCCTACTGCACATGAAGCCATCACCAGACAAATCAATTGGGACTACAACTTAATAGACGTAGCTTGTACACGTGCAGAACCAGAGACAACGCACCCCGAAGAAAACAAAACAGTAAGACAACAAAAAGTCCTGCGGGTCCTCAGGGGAAGGTTCTGTGGATCAACTCAGAACATGGGAAGCAGCCTCCCAGTTGAGGCCACCATTCCATGCCATCCCATACTGGCCACAGGTCTCCAGTAAAGGACCTGTCCCCACCTCCCTGTACCATCCGTGACTTCCAGAGGCAGCTAAAGCCTGCAGCCAACCTCCCAGCACAGGTTCTTGCACAGCTCTGCAGCTTTGTCCCCAAGCGTCCAAGGGTCCACCTGATGTCCCACAGATGCTCTTACCTGAGGAACTGGTCGCTGGTTGTTCCACAGTGCATGAAGGAGTTGGCTATAACGGTTGCTGTGTGACAGACGGAATTCCGTACTGCGTCCTGGAGAGGCAAAAGAGCAGGCAAGTAGTGGCACCCGCCGGCATACGAAGAGGCACTAAAATGCCATACAACTGCTGACAAGTTCAGAAGAGGTTCCAGGAGGGGAAACTGAAGGCGATCCAGGCATGTGTGACGTGTCTTTATTTTTGGATATCACATCCTCAGCACACTGGATTCGCTTTTGCCTTGTTATCTGGTTGCGGCTGTCATTTCCATGGTTTGTTTCCACGGTTTATGCTGTCGTTATTTCCAACATGAATGATTTGCTTACCTGAGTGTGAAGGGCTCTTTTCCCCCAGTCTTTCTGAGAGAGAGAGAGAAATTCTCCCAAGGAAAGACTGCTGGAACTGGGCATTCAATGTATGCTCGGTATCGGGTTGATTTGCTATTGATGTGGGTAATTTAATTATTTCATTAGCTAATGACACTATCTGAGGGTATACATACAAAATTTCAAATAAATGTGATCATTAGTTTCCTAGTAACCGTCAGTGAAAGACGACCATGATGACTGACGCAAAAATGATGAAGAAAATCGAGCACCGCGCTGTGATTAAGTTCCTTACAAAACAAGGAAAAAGTCAAAAAATCATTCACAAAGAGATGGTGGCCTTTTACCAGGACTCTGCACCTTCATTATCTACTGTTCAAAAGAGGTCAAGTGAATTTAAAAGGGGCAGAGAAAGCACTAAAAACGACCCTCGCTCGGGTGGGCCAGTTACTGCCACTACAAAAGAAAATGTGGAAAAAATTGAGAAACTTGTATTTCAATTTATTATTCCTTTTTCTTCATACTGATACCGAAAATACACTGAACGCCCCTCATAGCACAGAGAAAGATTTAAGGATAATATAACCCAGGCCTCTCCACTGTGGGGCCTGCCACATGGGTTGGAATGCAAGTCCCATCATCCCCAGCCAGCATAACCAGGTTGTGGGTGGTTGATACAGACAGTTCGCAAATGTTCCCAGTGTCTTGAGAACAGAGTCCCGAGCGATGACGTGCAACAACAATCCTAAGCCAGAAATGGCATCCTTTCTGCTAAGGCCAAGATCCAAGGAAGGCCCAGACATAGCTAAGCTCCTGTGTCGTAGTAGTGGTTAGAATATTTATATGCCACCTTTTCCACCAACAGGCAGCTCTCAAATGTTGTTTCCCTCAAGCTCCATTGAGCCTTGTGCCAGAAACATCTTTGGAAATACCCTCACATCCTTGGTTTGCAGTATTCAGAACAAAAAGCACCCTACCGTCCCCGAAACAGGGCAGAGTTAAATGATGGAATTCACTGCCACAAGATGGAGCACTAGCCACCAATTTGGGTGGCTTTAACAGGGGACTGGACAAGTTAATGGAGGTGAAGGCCATCCATGGGTTCTAGCCCTGGTGACTGGCTGCTACTTCCAATACCAGAGGCAGTGTGTCTAAGCACACCAGCTGCTGGGGAACATGGGCAGGAGAGTTAGTACTACACCCATGTCCTACGTGTGGTTTTCCCCACACAGTGTGCACAGAATGATTTGTGAGGTGATTCCGCAAAACTCTTCTTACGAACTCAAATCAAAAGCAGGTCTTGGGGTGGAAGTTTATTCTTGGGTACCCAAAACTCGGTACTTCAAAACAGGCTGAAGAATAGTCTAACTCAATATCTTGCAGGGGTACTTCAACTGTGCAGAGACTAAAATGGCTAATTCGCTGGGATCCCTTCCAACTCTTTCACAGAGTTCAGAATTTTTGCTGGAAGTCAGGAAGCTCTGTCCTCCTCCTGCAGGGTACTAGTGGGGCAGCATCAGATGATCTCTTACGACAGGGATCAGTAGCTGGAAAACCTGGGCCCAAAACTAGGTGCTAATCACTGCCCACACTTCCAGCTGAACCCAGTGATGACAAAGGTACGGTAAAATGAGCGACACTAAAAAGTCGGCAGCCCAGAGGAGAAAGGGGGGAAAAAAGAGAGCGCTGCTGCTTCGACTTTTCTCCCAATTCCTTTCCCAAAGCAAGTCATCAAAAATTCTGTCTCCTGACCAGGCTTTTATTCTGTGAGACTATTCCTTTCAGCTGGACTTCCATTACATTTGCCTAAGCCTTCTGGTTTAGAAAGAAGCTATGCTCATTATGTCTCAATGGAAAAGAGAGAACTCTTTGAAGAAAGAGTCCTCCCAAATAACATCTTGCTATTCTACAAACACTTGATATTCTACAAATGATTCATCTTGGCCGCATCAAAACATCTCATCTCTTGCAGTAAGGAAGAAATCAGGTACTGCCCTTACCTTTGTGTTTTTCAGGATCATGAGGTCTGTGTTGTTGTTTCGTATTAAGAACTGCAGGTGTAATTCAATGGCCATTTCACCACTTAAAATTTTAATCATTTTAGGGATCTGGTCTTTTGATTCGGGAGTCTTCACAAATGCACATGTAGAAAAAGACACACAAAAGATTCAAAAATGGCCAACAAGCCTCCTATAACAGTCCAGGTTACTTGTAACACCAGATCATTTAATGCCACCTGCTCAGATTAAATCTGCCAGATAAGCAGGAAGATTTATACCAATATCCATGAGATGCAGGGGTGAACCTTCAGGGTTTTGTTCAAATCCATTTGCACAGAAAGGGGAGAAGAATATTGGCTAGGCCACAGTGGATTCTCTGGGCACCGTTGCTGCAGCTAGACCATGTTCATCGATCAATCTGCTAAATGGGGATACATGAACTTCTTGCTTGGACTAAAAAGAGATTTCCCAGTATGTTTTTTTTAACTGATCACAAATTATTCCGAGCAGGGTTTTGCGGTGCAAGCTGCCCTCCATGCAATACCCAGTTAAGTTGGAAATGGCTGCACATGTGCCTCTTTTCAAAATCAAGCCTCACACAAGATTATTACCAAAAGAGCATCTGCCCTTCATGATAAGCAAGCAGGAGAGCTGGGCACAAGCCCAAGAATAGCCTTCTTCAAACTGGTGTCCTTCCAATGGCTTGGACTACAACCCCAGCATTCCTGACAATCGGCTGTGCCGCCCACAGCTGAATGCTGGAAAGGCACGGTCCCTCCGGCAAAGCATGCAAGAGTGAAACCCTGCCTCATTTGTGGTATCCCAGAATTTTATAAATCCTACAAGCCCAAATGCCTCTGGGACACTGTAGCAGCTAGTGCTGCTGGGAGCTTCTGCAGCTCACAGAAAGCTCCCTCCCAGCCTATCCAGCACCCGCCGCCACCTGGCTTTTGCCAGAGTGACAGAGAAAACAAAGAAGGTGCCACACAAGCAGCAGCTTCCCGCTTCCTCTGCGTTACCGCTGTCAGAAGCTGGGTCCCACTGGAGGGGGCCTGGGTAGCCTGACAGGATCCTCACTGCATGGAGGATGCTGAAAGCCGGTCAGACCAGCCTCAGATCCATCAGCCGCTGCAGCCAGTCAGCTGCTTCTCACCACACAGAAGCTCTGTTTAGGGCTGCTGCACAAACGGGATCAGGATCGTGTCCATTTCTTACCATAAGCAGCAATGTGGGAAGGGGCTGTGAGGAAGACGGAGAAGCCACGACTGAAAGTTCCAGGGGCTTCCTCAATATGCAGGCGTGCAGCATGGCGTGGCTTCTCATGTCCTTCAGCCACAGTGAGCCCTCATAATGTCGGGCCAGTGGGGCTCCCTTCCTTGCAGCAGGGAAAATATGTCTTGCAGGAGCCTGTCATCTAAGAGGGACCCATAAACCACAGCCAGGGATATCTGTCAAGCCAATCCCCACCCATTTGCAGCTGGCATTCCAGGCTAGCGGGTGGGGAAAGTTAAGTTCAGGGATGCTCTGGGCTTCAGGAATAATTTCTGCACACTTCCACCTTGGCAGGGCTAATTTTTCACCAAGTATATAATCTGAGGCACCCTTTCCCTTAAATGCATTGGTCAAACCAATCTGGCCCTGTGTGAAATCCTCTCCTGCAGCACCCAGCATACGTCCTTAGTAAGAATCCTCAAAAATACACACCTGTGTGCATCCACCTGAAGAGCAATTTTGCTGCCACATTCCCTCCTTTCACTGCCACATTTGACATAAGTCACATTGTGTACCTGGCCCACTGACTGTATTCCTAGTGCAGCCAAGTAAGTGAAGTCAGATCATCACCAAAGAGGCAGACCACAGGAGAATGGGTATGTTTTTAACAGGAAGTACAAGATATAAAACGATGCTTACTATGCAGATCTCTCTCTCTCTTTACATTAGTGCTTTCTCCCCCAGGCCTTGCAAGCAGGTATAATGCATGATTTGAGCAACTTAAATGTTTACAATAGCAAGCAATGGCTAAACAAGGCATCATTTTGCTTCCTGCTTTCGTGGGCAAACCATAGGAAAGAAATTCTAATGTCTTGAACAGTAAAACAACAATAAATCATGCCATGAGCTTTACAAGCCAACTCAGAAATTTTCTTGAAAGGAAAAAAACCCACACTGAATTATGCAAAGCATTCAGGGTCCCAAGCGATGTGGCATCAGCAGCGTTTTCACCCCGGAAAAGGCACCGTTTCCCAAGAGCAATCCCTAGCACAGATTTGGCAAGCTGTGAATCCACAGCAGGCCACCGTCGAGTTCACTGGGACTGCAGAATGGGCCAGGTTTCCCCAGCTCGCCCTCCAGACGAGGACGGCAACGGCTGAACTCACAGGAGTCCTAGTTCAACACATCGAGAGGGCACCCAGCTGAAGAAGGCTGGTCTGCAGGCAGACACTTTGCAAAAGACATCCCGCACTGTGTTCCACGGTTGCGACAAGCCAAGGGGCATTCCACGAGGAAGGCTTGCACAGGGGTACTTACAGTCTGGACAGACTTGGCCGCCACCACTGGACTACTGGCCTTTTCTTCCATGGTATCCATGGCATCCCTGAAAAACAAACACGGCCTAACTCGCACCACTGCACAGGTCAAAGGTGCACCCAAGCATCAATGGGATGAACATCCCATGGTCCTAACCCTACAATCTCAGCACTTTCCCCAAGTGTCCAATCCAGAGAAGAACCAATCCAGGTCACTTAACGGAGTGGCACCAAAATGCCTGAAAGGGTGGTGGGATTTGCACACTCCCAGCAGAGAGGGAATGTCGGCTGAGGAGGCCCACCTGCTCCTTCTGTGCAGGGCTTCAAGCGAAGCAGGCTTCCTCACCCCACCCCCAAACGGCTCAGCCGGCACCCCACGACCGGACGCTTCCCAAGCTCTTCTGAGCATCCCACAGAGGCAGGGCCCATCGCTGCTGCGGCCATTCCAACCAGACTACAGCACTTGACGGAGCTTGTCCTGCATCCCTTCCCTGGGCGCTTCGTCAGCTGAGCGCCTTACCCTTCTTTCTCTGACCCGGGGACAGTGCCAGTGTTGGTTGAGCCGGGCACAGAAGCAATTGGGGTCCCCACCGTGCGCAGGTTCTGAATCACAGAAGAGAGGAACTGCTGGCTGGCACTTTCGTACAGGTCAAAGCAAATCTGGTAAGCCATGAGGAGGTTGTCTTCCTTCACCAACTTCTCCAGGATGTCACTGACAGCCTGAGGGTCGTCCAAGAAGATGAGGCACTGCGGAGGGGAGAACAAAGGTCAAGGCAGAGGGAACATCAGCATGGAAGGATGAGCAGCATAAGGCACACCCAAGATCTCCTTGGCTTCTTCCCCCATAGCGGTTCCCGGAAAGAGTCGTCTGAACTAGAATGGAATCCACCGCATTTTACACTCCTCAAAAGTAAATTTCTCAATCATATTTCAACTCTGCCATTCCCCAAGGAGTGCAGGGAAACGTGTGCTGCAGGGGGGCCCATTTTCATCTTCACAAGGTTAACAGGTCAGCCGGAGGGAAGACATCGCTCAGCGATACCCAGTCAGCTTCAGGCTGAGCAGATATCGGAATCCAAGGCTCAGACCTCCCTGTGCTCCCACCGGCACCCAAAAAAGCGATCCAGAACACCGTTACCAAAAGAGCAGGTGCATTTATGAGGTGCACGGTGAGCGCACTTGCAGCTCCAAGCCATTTTTCCTACCTCTTTTTGAAACATTGGCTCAGAGGTGGAGAAGAACAGGTGTTATGCTGTATCCAGCCATTTACTGAGGTGGAGGCGTCACAACACACCATTTTTTGCCCAGATGAGAGGTGCCCTCATGTCACAACAGCCAAGAATTTTGAAGAATGTTCCTCAATTCCACCTGCTTCGCGCCTCCTGCCAGCCAGAGTGGCTAAATAAGCCAGGGACGCCGACGGGCTGGTCTGGTGTAAGAATGGATCCGCTCCAGCCCTGGGCCTACAGCCAACCTCCTGAAGGCCATGTCTTGCTCTTTGGAGTTCCTTCAGTGGTCACAGCCTCCTCCCCGCCCCCAATCATACACTGGGTGGTTTCCTGGACTGTGTGAAGCTTTGCCCCCAAGCCAAGAGGTTGGAATCCCTCTTCGAAGGCTCAATTTTAATGGCAGTAGGAGGCTCAAGGTACCATCTGCTGGTATTTCTTGCATCCTTGGCCCCTTAGCCCAGGACTGAAATGCAACTCATACCAATTCCTCTGAATTCCTCTGGCCCTGGGGTTGGAATAGGCCCGTCCATCCTCCCCCACCCCGTTTACTATGACATCCAGAGTGGGAAACTCCTAAAAGCCAAAGTCATCAGTCAAGGAGAAGCAGCTGGCAGAGGGAGCCAAACAGGAGAAACTGAACTAGATGCACCAGGACAAGAGGTCGGGATTTGTCAGAATTCAGTCACGGTCTCTATTCAGTTTCATGTCACCATTCCATTTCACCCACCCTGAGAATGAGAGCAGCCCTCACCACTAGGCCACACAGCTCCTCGCACCCTTCCTCCCCAGCCCTCAAGTGTAACGGGCACCGGGTCCACAGGCAGACGTGCAAAATTGCACCATACTACCTGGCACACGTTGATGAAGTCGGGCTTTTCCAAGTTCATGTAGATTTTCACCAGGACCCTCAGCACTTGGTTGCGGAACTGCTTATTTTGCATCAGAGACATGCAGAGTTTGAGGCTGTAGGCCAGCATTCCAGGAACATCATTCTGAATGTGATATATAAAATAAGCAAGTTTACATCGTTTCCCCTTAATGTTCAATTAATTATCAGTGTGTTAGCACTGGCTTCAGTGTGAACAGCTATAGCAAAGTACCAGCATAATATAATTTTCTTAGAGGCACACTCATACATCTAAGAAAATTTTATTTCCTGCCAATCTTGCAGTTCGAAAGCATGCAAATGCAAGTAGATAAAAAGGTACCACTTTGGTGGGCAGGTAACAGCGTTCTGTGCACCTTGGTGTTTAGTCATGCCGGCCACATGACCACGGAGACTGTCTGCAGACAAACGCTGGCTCCCTCGGCTAGGAAACGGAGATGAGCACCACCCCCTAGAGTCAGGCATGACTGGACGTAACGTCAAGGGGAAACCTTTACCTTTACTTATTGAAACTGTTTTAATTCTTTTAAATATTGTAAGCCGTCCTGAGATCTTGTATAATAGGACAGCATACAAAAGCTTTTAATTAATAAATGAATGAATGAATGAATGAATGAATGAATGAATGCATACCCAGGCTAAATATTTTGAGAAATGAAGCGGCACTGTGCCCAAGAGTGTGAGTGATAAACCAGGACGTCCGCCATTCAAGTGTTATTTTGGCCACAGGGCCACTCCTCACTCCACCCCACCCACCTATTCTGCAAGATGGACACTTCTCTTACTGCCTCTTTAATCATGGGGAATGTTACAGTATACCCAGTCTTATTTATTAGCAATATCTCTGTACCACTTTTCATTTGCACAAATCCTGCAGTGTCAACCTAACACAAAATCGGAAGGCAAAGAGAGAAGCAACACTCTTTTCTCCACCTCTGTGCTGGGAAAGGGGCAAGTTTTGCCCACTGCGTTTGGTCTGAATTGGGGAAGATGAAGACACATCTTCTAAAGACATCACTGCCTCACCTTCAAGTTCAAAGCGGGACAGAAAAATTGAGGCTTGCTGTTTTGGTTCTTGGAGGAACGCTCTTCTTCAAGAAGGGAAGGCTGAAGAAGGCTGCAGTACTGGGCCACCTTTTAAGCAGTGGTGGCTGTCCTGCATCAAAACACACCACAGCTTAAAACCCGTGGCCTGAGAGTGGGGCGATGGGATTGTTCCCACAAGACCAAATTAGGGTTCATCTCAGAGGAACACCACAAGCTGCTCTGCCTTGCATATAATGGAACTCATCCACACCAGCCAAGCCTCTTTCAGTTGTATCTGCTGCTACAGTTCCTGCAGCCAAGGCAGGGCAATCTTCTGCTTTAGGACTGACTTGCCTTCTTGGCTGTAGGAAACAACACTTAAAACATAGGAAGCAAAAGTCTCTTTTCTCTCCAAAACATGATGCAGTTCCTTCAGATCGTGGACTCTGGATTACCCATTTTTAAGAACGTGAGAACTTGGGCATGTTGAGCAGAATTCTGAATCTTTCCCAGTTTTCCATAATGTTGCCACCTAGAGCTCTCAAGTAGCTCCCCGGCCCGACACAACGCCTGCCAAGCATCACTTTCTGTGCTTTCACCTACCGATTCCAAAATAGTTTTCTCAAAGATATCCAGCCTGCGCGTCTCCAGGGCAATCCCAATGGCCTGCTTGTACTTGTGATCATCCAAGCAGCGCTGGAACATCTTATTCACAATTCCTTCCAACCGTGGATCCACTGCCTTCTTCGCTCCCTCGGCCAAGTCAGCATTTTCCACACACTGCTTGGTGTAATGGTCGATGCACTTTGCTAGGAAAAGGAACACACATGACCCATCTTAAGTTTCTCTAATACATTCTCATAGCGGACTACTGAAAAGTTATAAGTGCAACTCAACATTCCATTTATTTATTAGATTTATATCCCACCTTTTTTCTTACAAAGATCTCAAGAGGCTTACGACATTGCCCTCCTCCTGCTGTCCATCTTATCCCCACAACAGCGGCCCTGTGAGGTGGGCTGGGCTGAGAGTCTGTGACTGGCCCCAAGTCACCCAGCTGGCTCCATGGCTCAGCGGGAACCAGAACCCGGATTGCCCGAGTCCCAGACCTGCGCGCTTAACAACTATACCACATGAACACACAGGGAGTTCACTGAATGACACTGTTGAGCTCAAAGAGTATTTTGGTAACACATGATGCTATTGTCAACGAAGATTCTGCATATGATTCTGCTGCTGGGCCCAAAAGTTCCATTCATGGCAATCTCAGCTTTTGTTGTTTCAAATTCCACATTGGGCATAATTGAAAAAATGGAAAATAAAATGGCCAATCCCACAATCCCCTTATTGGTACAACCACACTCTTAATACTGTGTACAGTTAGGTTACTTTACCTAAAATAGGGTAGTTGGGAGACGTGCAGAAAAGGGGAACTAAAATGGTCAGGAGGCTGAAGCAACTCCCCTAACGGGGCGACTTACAATGCCTGGGATTCTTTTGCCTAGGAAAACGGCAAGTATGGACCCAAAAAGGCGATAGTGGTGGATCAAATAGTGCAAGTTACAGAGAAACTGGGTAGGTAAACATTTTGTAGGACAGATAAAAAGAGATCAAACTATGGAATTCACTGCCACAAGATGTAGTGATGGACACCAATTTGGATGGCTTTATAGCAGGTTTGAACAACTCGGTGGAGGAGGTCATTTTATTTATTTGATTTCTATACCGCCCAACAGTAGAAGCTCTCTGCTAGCCCCAGTGGCTATATGCTACCTCTGGTATCAGAGGCAGTTTGCCTGTGCATGCCAGTTGCTGGGGAACATGGGCAAGAGGGTGCTTTTGCTCTCACATCCTGTTTGCTGCACAAGCTGGACTCTTGGCCTGATCTGGTAGGGATCTTATGTTCTTATTTCAAATGGAACAAGATGCCATCCCTTAAGGAATGGGTGCATAAGACGTTCATATGACAGAGCACTGCTTTGGGCCAGATGGTTACCTAGACCGACCTCATGTCCTTCACAACAGCATCCTCTGTCCTTACACGTTTGTATGTTCCTCCCACCCTCTGTATGGAGATTACTTTTTCCTGTCAACACTCCACTCCTCCTCTCAAATGCTACCCAAAACTATTTAACTAGTTTGGGACTCAAACTGCAGGTTTGCCCAAGTGAACCGAGTAATTTTACACGCCAATAATGCAAACCATTCTAATATCCAGAATTTGGAAGTCGCCACGTGCCAGATATGGCGGCCTGCTAGAACGCTTCCCATTTCACAGTGCGAGGGCTTACCAATGATCGTCTCCACATATTCTGAATCGTCATTCACATTGAAGAGATTGCCTGCTCCAAGCGCATAGTTCAGTGACTCCTCAAAAGCTCCAAGGTGATAAAACACCTTTGAAGCCACCAAAGCAGCAAATTCACGACTCCGGAAGCCAACATCTTCGTACAATATTTCACTACAAAGGAGGCAGGGAAGAAAAGAAATCAGCTCATGACTGCCTCCGGGGAACACAAATCAAGAGTTATATTGCAAAATCATGAAGTGTGGAACCACATATTTTTCTGTTGAGCAAGAGGTAAGGCAGAGCACTCTTTCACTCTGGCTAAGCTCACATTTTAAAAAGTTTCTCTTACATTTTGTCTACTGACTCAGAAATTTCTGCCCAGAAGTCATTGACCACGGCATTCAGTTTGTGAAGAGCAAACTCCTGCAAAAACAAGAACCAAATTAGCTGCATGCCAAGTCATAAGAAAACAGAGCTGTAACAAGTGGTTATGCCGTAACTGTTTAATTTAAACTCTGGTTCATTGCATTCTGCCATGTATTTTCCCAGAACAGAAGCTGGCAACTGGTGCCTTCCAGACCTTTTGGACTTCGATTGCCCAGCTACTGTGCCCAATTTTCAGGGGTAGTGGGAGCGGAGTCCAAGACATTCTGAGCATGTGAGGCTTTCTACATGGCCCAGAAGGATGAACAATCAACAGTGCCTGCCCAGGAAGGAGACAGACGCCATCTGGACACATAGGTCATTAATGATATACAGTAAGCCCTACTAAAGGAAGGAAGGTAGGCAGTTACAAAAGCATAAGCAGGGCAACCTGGGGACTTCCCTCTGGTCACTTTCCCATGACTTCATCAGTCCCAGAGGCAGAGTGCCAAACTCTCTTCTTCCAAACAGCATCAATGGCTGAGAATGTCGCACCTCAACTCACTTTGCCTTAGCCTTGCCCACCCACCCAGGACAAAGGTCAGTTTTGTTTTCTTCACAAACAAGGGAACTTTAAAGTTTTAAGATGCACTCTGATGGCCATTATTCAAGTCTAACAGTGTCTGCTGCTTCTGGGTTTTAAGGTGTTCTTCCAAAGTCTGACCTCATCATGTTTTGGCTGACTTTATACCACAGGAATGCCCCTGTTGTCAGCTGAGCCTCATATTGTTGGTGAACTGGTGAAAATGCACTGCGGACTGTCAAAATTAGAATCCAACAATGGCCAGATACTATTTCAGACACGAAATAAAGAAACATATCAACTCCAACAGTCAGATAATGCACCAACTGTTTCTCAGTTTTTATTATGGCATGCTTTGTCCGCCTAGCTTAGAAAGAGAAGCAACTCAAAACTGACACAGACCTAGCAATTCAGGAATGAACTTGGCACAACTCATAAATAGTGTTCAGTTTCATATCAGTAGAGAGAGTCACAGCTGAGGCAATCTTCAGTTCAAAATAAGCATGTGGCAATAATCACTCCTGTGCGACACACGCACTGAACCCAAGTACATTTCAGTGACTGCTTCTAGAAAACTGTTTGTAAAAACGAATCTTCGGCCTAGAGGCCTTGATGGCTGGCTGGCTGCAGGGCAAAAGCCAAACCTGGACACCTACCTTGAGTTCCGGCTCTTCCTCATCCAGAAGTGAAATAATTCCAGCTAAAAAAGAAAAGTCCTTTTAGTCTCAATGTGTATGACCAAGAGAAGGCCAGTAAAGTTTTAAACATTTTTTCACAGTCATAGTTTTATGGTTTCAAGAACATGACTATACGTTGGCCGTGCCAGTGAAAAACAAATAATCAAAGTTCCTCTTCTCCTTTCTCATGGCCTAACTACACATTACACACACTGTATGAAAACATACAGTCACAGATCAGCCATGGAAGTGATAGTGTGTGAACGTTCAGAAAAGGATGGCTGCTTCTCTATACCCTCCCCACCGCAACCGCTTCATCTTATGTCGAGATGTTTTAAGTTAATTAGCAGCACTTCCTGCTCTTCCCACTCCAACCTTCCTAACAGTGCTTTCCAAATCCTCAGTTGTCAGAGACTGGTTCACATGTAACTACTGCGAGGGTCATTGGTGTAAAATTTATTCAAGCTCTGAGAAATGATCTGTTCTCTTATTTCCTTCCTGAACCAATTTTCTTCTTCTTTTAGATCTATAATTAGCCTCTTCTTGATCCCATCCTTCTCCAAACAATACCTTTCTCTCCAACGTTCCACAATGCAAAATAGGAGCATGAGACCACTTTCAAGGCCCTTTCCATGTCTAGATCCCCACACTGATACAAAGATGTGGTCCGGGTCAGGTCCTACTGCCCTGAAGACTTTCCAGAAATGCCACATGCCTTGAGAACCATTTGGCTGCAAGGCAGGACATAACCCTTATAAACAAGCATGCCTCTGGGTATATCAGGTTCCTTACAAACAAACACTTGGGGGGAAGATTTGCTGGAAAATTGAAAAGGGAAAGTTTATTGTTTATTTATTTCATAGCTATACTGCCCAATAGACAAGGCTCTCCAGAAAGTTCACAAGTTGAACACTCCACCCCACTGTGCCCCTCAACATTCTTCCTTCAAAGTGCTCAGGAAAGTCTTCACCCAGCCCGCTTTATCCTCAGAACCACCAGTGATATCGGTTATACTGAAAGATTTAAATCGCTATTTTTCACGAAAAAGTTCTCACAGCCATTTAAGGCATAGTCCTATTGCGTGTGCTCTCAATGCTCATAAGTTCCCAAACTTGGGAGGCTTAGAAGCATCCAGTGCAGAACCAGAGGTGAAACAGAAGTGCTCTGATCTCACGCTTTGCATTTTAGCTAGAAGGCCACTTTCAGAGGGAACTTTGGAGCACGGGGAAGGAGTACCCTCGTGGCTCCACTGTTCTCCCTTCCCTCAGGACACCCCCCCCCCACTTTACCCTCCCCAGCAGATTTCATGATCTTGGAGAGGTCGCTGGGCAGTTCTTTCCAGGGCAGCTGCAAGGGGAAGGGAAGGGCACTAGAGTGTGGATTCCTAGAGTTCTGTCTCCACCTTGGATCTGGAAATGAGAATTATCCTGTGGCTCATAGGCAACATTTAGGTGCAATATGATTATTAAAATGTTGCTATAGCACTGTTCCAATTCCAGCAGAGACAGTTTTTCAGATGTGCATTTCATACCCTCAAAAGAATATTCTGATTCCTTACTCCTTACCTCACGTGCTGTCTGTCTTGGAGAATACCATGTCCCTGGAAGCACCATCTCCCTTCTCATACATGCAAACATACAACCAAATGGACCCAACAGCAGCTGGGACAGAGCTACTCTTCCATCACACAGTTGTCCTTCAGACAGCTGTCACGATGGCACTTGGTGCTCTCACAGGAAGAGGCCTGGTGAAGCTGCCCACCTCCTTCACTGTCAGTCAGTGGCAGTTCTGGCCGCTTCTGCTTCAGCAACAAACAACCCCTCCCCAGAAGTGCATCCCCGCACTTCAAATCAGGTCTGGGAGGAGAGCAGGTAGCAACTTTGGGAGAAACTTAACAGGGCCACTCCTGTCACACAGTGCTTCCCACAGAAGGCTTGGGAAAGGTCGACTGAGGTTCAACCCATCTCTTAAGTCCACCTATCTTTGACACCCTAACCACTATGCAGCACTGTCCAGAAGTGGTAGACATCAGAATCTTGCTACACACATTAGCTTCTTTTAACATGTAGCCCTAGAAGACATTCAGGACATGATTGGCACCTGAATAGCTCTAGCCCTGTGTTCCATATTTCACTTGCTCTAGGCCTGTAACTCCACCCACCCCCGCAGACTCCACCATGTCCCTATAGTCCAGTCTTCATGCAGTATCTGATGAAATACACTGTAGCTCACAAAGGCCCTAACAGATTTGACAGGCTGCAAGGCAACACAGGTGTCCATGCATACTCAGAATAACCTTTTAAACCAGACTTCCCCTACACAGTGCCCTCCACATGCGTAGAGACGGGGCAGAGAAGGCTGTCCTACATACTACAGAAAAATACACAGGGGAACAAACTATACCTCTGCCTGCTCAAAACCCACCAAGTGCTCTTCCATCAAATCATGCATCTTAGAAATTAAATTGACCAGGCAAGGCTGAAGTCACACAGATTTAACTTGGGGGTTGGGTACAGGATCTAAAATGATAGCCTGCAAAAAGATCTATGCTTGTCAAAACTTAAAATACTAAAAAGGACTGCTTTCCCCTGTGATAGCAAAATGAAGCCTCCATGTCCAGTAGCAGTATACCTCTGAGTGGCTGTTACTGGGTGAAAGGAGACAGTGAAGAGAGCTGTTTGCTTTCAGTTGCCTGCTGGGCTTTCTAGAAGCATCTGGTCAACCACTGTTGGGAACAAGATGCTGGAATATATATACATATATATGCCTCCTGCCTATAATCACAACAACCCTGTCAAAATCCCCTGGAGGCTGGTGGTGGTACTAGAACCCGAAGTTTGCTGCTACATTACACTGCCTCTCAGAGCATACATGACATAGAAGAGCTTTGAACTCTCAGCCTCTGGTTCCAAAGTTTGGCTTCTCTCGCTGCTGTGCTATTTGAGCAAGTATGCATAGACCCAGCGGAGTCCTCCTTATGATCTTAAGCAGCCTGTCCCAGTCGGGTGCCTTCCAGAGGTGCTGGACCGTAAACTCCCCTTACTCCCGGCCCGCACAGCCAGAAGGGTGTGAGAGGAGTTGCGCCCCTATACTTCTGCAGGGCACTCAGTCCGGGTCGCGGGAGTGGGCAATTTGTTGACCCAAAGCATCCGGAGGGCCAGACCTCGCCTTAGGCAGCACAGGCAACGGTGACGACCGATGAGAGCAGCAGGCCGGGAGAGCTCCACCTTCTCCACCGCAGTCAAGGCTCTGGGCAGCGCCTGCCAGCGGGGGGAAAGCGGAGCCGGCAGGGCCGGTGGGCGGCCGAGGAAGCCACCCCAGGCCCGGGCTGACTCAGCGGGAAGGGGCCGGGCCTGCTTCTCCGCCCGCTGCCGCGGTCCACTCACCGGCGGAGGTGATCATGGCGCCGCCGGCGTCGCGTATCCCGCCGGCCGGGAGCTGCGGAGACGGGGAGAGGGTCGAGCGGCGAGCGGGAGCCTTCCGAGAGCGGCGCGACTGCCTGCCGTCCTGGTCCGTGACCAAGCTCGTTCGCCGCTTCCGTCGCGTCCTCAGGCTACCCGGAGGTGACGTCAGGACGCGACTCTTCGGCTTCAGGCCCCGCCGCCCGGGCGGCCGCGGCCGCGTTCGAGGGGCTGTCCAGCGCAAACGCCTGCGTGAGGGCGGTGGCGGGGTCGTGGCCAGACCCGAGGAATCGGCGGGACCACGTTCCGCCCGGGGGCAGCAACGCGAAAACTAGGCCGCAATCCGAAGCAAGTTGCCTTGCTTCGGACTGCGAAAAAGAAAGGACCGGGATTGCAGTCTAAAACAGGCTGTGGAATGGGCACCTCACCCTGGTAGAAAAGACCCCCTCGCTTCGGTCTGGTTTGGCGTGCTCCTCTTCACAATTTACATTTTTATTAGTATCGTGTTTACTTAAAGTATTTTCAATCCGCTGTTTGGCCCCAAAGACTCCCAGAATGCTTTGCGGATGAAATTCTGTAGCCGCTACCCTTTTGCCGTCAAGCAAAGGACACAACACAAAAGGAAAATAGCATGAGGAGGGAGGAGGAAAAAAAACTACGTGAAACGTCCTTTTTGGCTTGTCTGAAGAAGCCTTGAAAGCTTGCACAGGTTTTGATGACCTCTGAGTTGCCCTACTAAATGAATTAATTACCCTAGATGAGTTCTGAAACAGCTGTATGGACCAGCAGACAGCCTGGTGCAAGGACTGAGGGATGGATGGGGAAAAGGAACCGAAGCAGCTGGGATCTCAGTTGCAGTGATGGAATAAGCACCCTGTTGGATGAAACCCATGGTCCGGCTCATCCTGTTTTCTCTTCCCACCATGGCCAACTGGATGCTCTTGGATACCCGTGATGCACTCAGGAACACAACTCCCAGCAACTAGAATTCTTAGGCATGTTGCCTGTGATGCTGGAAGGAATATACAGCCGTCACAAAGTTCTGCCTCTTTATTTCTCCAGTTCCCAAGTATGAGGCAGGTGCAATTCTAAGTGTGATTGCTGGAACTACAAAGGAACTTTTCCTCCGTTCCTGAGCAAATGTTTCTAACGGACAATAGAGCTACAATACTAAGTTCCCAGCCATTACGGCTATTGTTATGTTCCATCAAGTTGTCTCTCAGTTAACAGCAACCCTATTAATCAGAGCCCTCCAAAATCTCCTGCCCGCGACAGGTCTTGTAAACTAGAGGTTGCAGCTTCCTTTATGGCATCAACCCATCTCGTAGTCGCTCTTCCTCTTTTCCTTCTGCCTTCCACTTGCCCTAACATACTTGCCTTCTCACGCTGTGCCCAAACTATGACATCTTTGACATTTTTGCTTCCATGGAAAGTTCTGGCTTGATTTGCTGTAGGGCCCACTTGTAGTAAAGAGCAGAGCTATCACCCTGCCGACAAAAATGCGTATAGCCAAGGCGATGGTTTTCCCAGTTGCAATGTACAGCTGTGAAAGTTATTATTATAAAGGCTGAGTGCCGAAGAATTGAGGCCTTTGAATGGTGGTGCTGGAGGAGACCTGTGAGTCCCTTGGACCACAAGGTGATCAAACCGGTTAGTCCTGGAGATCAACCCTGACTGCTCTTTAGAAGGCCAGATACTGAAGAGGAAACTCAAATACTTTGGCCACCTAATGAGAAGGAAGGACTTACTGGAAAAGAGCCTGATGCTGGGAACAATTGACTGCAAAAGAAAGAGGGGACGGCAGAGGATGAGGTGGCTGGATGGGGTCACTGAAGCAGTCAGTGTGAGCTTAAGTGGACTCTGGGGATAGTGGAGGACAGGAAGGCCTGGAGAAGTGTTGTTCATGGGGTCGTGATGGGTTGGACACAACTTCACAACTTGTTCATCTTTGCAAAGTATTTTTCGGTATTTGCAAAGCTCTCCTCCATCACAGCTTCAGGGTTTTTTTTTTTTTTCTTTTTCTGTATCCTTCACATCTGTGTTTGGGAATACAATAGTGTAGATTATCTTGGCCTTGGTTTCCAGTAAAGGTCCATACACTCAGTTACCTTCAGTGCTGTCCTTTGAAATCCGTCTTCTTCACATTTCTTGGCTGTAGCTTCCATTTGAATTGATAACTGAGCCATTGATTTGTGAAATCTTTTGCAATCTGTTTCTTTACTGTTGACATTAAAATTGTGTAATTCTTGTGCAAGTCATGTTTTTCCCCTTAATGTTCAGCAGCACTCCTGTTTTTGCATGTTCTTCTTTCACTTTTATCAGGAACCGTTTCAATTCATTGCTGCTTTCTGCCAGGAATATGGCAGATAAAAAATGTATTATCTACATATTTTACATTATTAATGGATCTTCCACCACTTTTCACTCCTTCTTCTGCTTCTAAAAAATGAGGAGAGCTTTCTAAGTGCCCTGGACTAACAGAAAGACAAACCAATGGGTCTTGGAGCAAATCAAGTCACAACTTCCCCAGATGCAAAAATGACACTGTAAAAGCTGTCATGCTTTGGGCACCCATAAGAAGACAAGACTCACTAACAAAGACAATCATGCCATGGAAGACCAAATGCAAGACGGATTGATGCCATAAAGGAAGCCACAGCCTTGACTCAACAAGAGCTGAGCAGGCCATGGAGGGTGCTTTGGAGAGCATTAACTCTTCGTGTCAGGAGCGAGGTTCCCCCTTTTCACATACAAGGCAACAGACTGTTCCTTTGTAAAAGCTCTTTATTCTCCAACATGCATCCAGCAAGCACAATCACCACAGAATGACCCTCTGAGCATGCTCAGAGTGGTTCCTTGGACCCAGTCCAGCAACTACTTCCAAGAGTACCCATGCCCCCTCCCTCTGGGGCCCCTCTGGAGGCAGGCAAGCCTCTTCCTCATACGCTGCCCCTCTAGTGCAGCGGTCCTCAAACTTTTTCAACAGGGGGCCAGATGAAAGGCTGCGGTGACCGTCGCGGGCCGGTGAGGTGGGGGCGCCTGGGGGTGTGGGCCGGTGAGGTGCCGTCGGGCACGCCCGAGGCGGCATTGGGCGCACATGGCGGTGGCTCGCTCACTTGCTCGGAGATCTCCCCGAGAGTCAAAACTGAGCAAGCGAGCGAGCCACCGCCTCCCCGCCCGCGCCGCGAGGCAGCAGCAAGCGTGTGCATAGGGGAGGCAGGTGGCGGCTCGCTCGCTCGGATCTGTCCTGTGGGCCGCAGTTTGAGGACCCCTGCTCTGGTTGGCCAGCCCCTCTCCCGATGCTGGCTGGGGCATGCTGGGAGTTGCGGGCTTCTTTCCGTCGGTGCATCAAATCGCACCCTCGAGGAGCCAACGGTTGCATCTAGCTGTTCTCTCCTTCCTTAACCCTCCTGAACTGTTGCCATCTGCATTATTTTGCTTTGTATGCAGTTCACGCACTCTCATTCTTCCAGCAAGTTTTGAGATGCAGGCTCCCTACTTGACTGGCATGAGAGCCTGGGAAGAGGGCACCTCGCACGCTCATACTCCGGGCCTATGAAGCTTGGGAAACAGGAGTAGTTTTATTTTGCCTTAAAGCATATGTTGCTGATAAACGCTTTTGCGTCAGAGCCTAATGGTCTCATACGCAAGTCCAGTGCAGTTGGGGGCACCAGGTTGAGCAAGGCTGCCCAAAACCACAGCCTACCAAGCCAATCGGAAAAGGAGAGGGCGGGCTCAGGAAGCTTTCTCGGCAAGTTCCCCCAGGACAACAATCGATGCAAAAGCTGCTTTGGACTCTGCTGTTACAGAAAATGCACTTGAGGTTTCAACTGTATCCATAAGGTCCACAAGATTTTCTGAATGTTTGAAATGATCATTGAGAAAAGGTGAGTAACACATGCCTGGAATCTCTTCATGACAGAAAATAATTCAAGTTGGAAATGTTTTTACAATATCAGAACCAACCCTCCTTCGTCCTTGCACGCACCGTGACTTTCAAGTTCACAGATGCCGTCTCCCACATATTTCACATTGACAGGGAACAAATCCTGAATTCAGGAATAAAAACTGAGAAGAGGTATGCCAGGCTTGGTAACACCATGGTGCCCACTTGTGCGTGTGCAGAGTGCACTGACACGTTGAACGTGAGCCTCAGACATCTGGCGTGACTCCAGCGCCCTTCGGTCCCAGGAGGCCCCCCATCGCGCCTGGCTGAAAGGAGGCAGAGCTGCCAGACCCTGTGCTGACCCAAGGATGGCAGAGAGCGGCTGGGCTGCACGACGGCACTTTGGCTCCAGCGTCCTCTGGGAATCAATCAAATGCCAAGCGGCGTCTTTCGAAGAGCCCGCAGGAAAACTTCATGCTTTGCAAAGACTATACTCAGAGGATCCCTCTCCCGGATTCTTCTGCTTCCGAGAGGAGATGAGGTTGCTTCCTCTGGCCAGGTGCAGCGTCCGTGGGGGGCTCCGCCAGGCACTCTGCCCTTCCACCGCCATCCTCGCAGTTCCCGTTGGGGGTTACGTTGGTCAACGCGACACCTTCATTTAGCTCACGCAAGACACCTGCACTGGGAGAAAGAAAACCAATTTAGGCATGTCCTTTACAGGTGCAATACCCCTTTTCAGACATTCTATGTAGGACGGCGGTTTCCTCCTGCCGGGCACCTGCAGATGTGGGGTTGATGGAAGTGACCTCTGGTTTGGGGAAGGGCGACCTGCAGCCCAACTAAATTTAGGTGGGGACTGAAATGTGGCTGACCTTTCCGAGGACTGGTGGTTACACATGGCACCAAATAGACAGCAAGCTTGATGATCGAGTCCAGAGAACCTCTTCCCAATCCCAGTTGTACCCATCAAAGACAAAGATTCCCACTGATTCTGCTGCCTTCCCCAATCCAGATTCACTTTGCCACTGGGGACAGTTCTCGCAGATTTTGCACCAGGGAGATGGGAGCTTTTATTTTTATTTATTTATTTATTTATTTATTAAAACATTTTTATGCCGCCCCATTCGCCGAAGCCTCAGGGCGGCTTACAACAATAAATTAAATCCACATAAATAAAAATTAAAATATATACATTAGAATAAAAACAAGAAAAAAATATACAGTATAAAATAAGCCACCCTGGCCAGATAAAATTCAATAATATTAACATTTAAAATGCTGCTGAAATAAAAAGGTCTTTGCCTGGCGCCGAAAAACAAATGTTTGTAGAACATCAAGCCTCAGCAAACACTTCTGTGCCCTGGAGGTGGCCAGCAGCCTGCACGATCCCAAATGTCATGAAAGCAAGAAGCGTTGTGTCCAAATAAAAAAAGATTAAAACAAAAATTGGGGCTCCCACTGAGAGCCACGGTTGATGAAAGTGTTGCTCAAACGGGGTTACCTTCCTGGTGTTTCTTTGCAGCTGCACCCAAACGGCCTTTCCGTTGTCTCCTCCTGCCCCACCAGAGACATCGCAAGAATCCCGGGAGTCTCTTCTTCTTGGTCTCCGCCTCATCTTTAAAATCAAAAAACAGAGAACAGAGTCAGGGGAACATCTTGCAAAGCTGTGGGCAGAAAGAAAAAAGACTCCGGGCTCTGCTTAAATTTGGTGAGCAAGGCTGTCAACATTTAAGCCACACCCAGACTGGATCAGACCCAGGGTCCAGTTAATCTAGCCTTCTTTTTTCCAGTGGCCAACCAGCTATTTGTGGGAAAACCACAAGCGGGCAGAGGTGCAGCCGTGCCCTCCTGCCCACGTAACTCTGCGACTGGTATAGAGGCAGGCTGCTTTTGCTGCTGGAGACAGCATCTGGCCATGAGGACTAGCGGCCATGAACAGCTGCCCCCTCCCTGAATCCATCCAGTCCCCTTTTAAAACTATCCAAATGGGTATCACTACTTATCACAGAATGAATTCTTAACTGAAGCTTAACTATGCACTGTGTGAAGGACTTCCTTTGACCTTCCTCTCCACACCAGGCATAATTTTGCAAAGTTTAATTCTGTCCTCTGTCACTTGCTCTTTTTCGAGCCTAAGCAGTCCTGGGCACTGTAGCCATTCCTCAAGCCCTCTGGTTGCCCTTCCTTGCAGCTTTTCAAGGTATTGTCCCCAGAACGGCATAAAATATTCCAAGTGTGCTTGCAAGACCAATTTTCACAATTAATTCAGGGGATTCCTTGCTGGACAGAAAGTGAGAAATTGTCCCAAAGTATGTCCACCAGACAGGAAACTATCAGCTAGCACCAGTGTGTTTCCAATCTTGAACGGAATGTCTTACTTATTAAACATTTGAGAAACACCCCTCAGGATATTAACACCTGTAAATGTAATGCAATAATGAAAATATTAAGCACCCCAACAAAAATAGAACAAGCTGAAGAACTTCTACAATGCATAGGCTGCTCAGATGTCCGGCCTCATGCCCATGACTCCTGGTTAATGCACCTCTTTTGCAGAAATCCATCCTATGCTGCATAATGCGATCAAGGGATGGTTTGGTAGTTAAGAGGGAACCTGACTGAAAATTAAGGATGTACAAGAACTTTATTTCTGTTCAAGAATCATGCAGTGTCCCATTCACAAACATAAGCAAAAGAGGTTTTAAGAAATGTTTGCAAACTCTTGAATCTGCAATCATGTTTGGAAAATGTTTATTTTTTAAACAAGCATTTAAATATGGATTTTCCACGCTTTAATTAGTGGGGTAAGTGCACACTTTTGAAAATGCACACAGAAATGTACTTTTTCCCAATATGAAATGTGTCCGTCCCCTGTTTGAACAAGTTGAAAACCAGATTGAAAACGAAAACGGGAGTGAAAATGAACTTCTAAGTGATTTTCAGAGAATTTAGGTGAGCTTGAAAAAATGCTACGACTCCCATCCCGAAATAATAAAGTTATGCATGTCATGGAGGTTTCTCCCAGTCTCACAATGTTAGAGACACTGCAAAATGGGGGGTGGGGGGGGGTGGGGCTGGACTGACTCAAGGCAGCCACAATTTCACACACACCATGGGGTGAATCTCAGAAATTGGCTTGGACAGTTTTAAAAGGAGATTAGACCAATTCACGAAGAAGAAAGAGAAGGAGGTCATCTGCCAATGGCTTGTCACAATAGCTATGTGGCCCTCTCCCTGTCCGAAGCACCTGGGTGACCACAAATGGACCCTTGCTCTATCCCAGAGGGAGCCATGCTGCCTGTGGATGATGGAAGCGTTAGTCCAACGCCCAAGGATGGGGAGAGCCCTCGGAGACTGACCCAGCCAGCACCAGGAACAGTAAGCTTTCAGAAACCAACCAGAGGGAAACTGGGACTAATGCTTGGGGACAAGGGGAGCACCCCGGGGCCAGCCCAGCCAGACTGGGGTCCGCGTGCTGCAAAACGCAAGCAGCGCTCTCTGTCCTGAAGCACCAGAATCAGCGCAAGTTAGTATTGCATGGCCAGAGCAACCCAGGGGACTCCACTCGGTCACAGCAAGCCTCTCGCCAGCTCAGCCTGGTCCGTGTGGGGACCAACCGCTGGTTCCTCAGGGGCCTGTCCTCTTCGCCACCCTCAGTGACCTCGCCTCCCCCCTGATCTGGCATGACTATACCACAGTCTTGCAGAACAGCCCCCTCTGAGGGACAAAGTGCATCCTGTGCGCAGATGCTCAAAACGCAGCCCCAATCCTTGTTTTTAGCTAGGAAAAAGCAGTAGTAGGGAGGTACTGGGGGAGGGGGTTGTGAGGGCAATGTGCAATTGGGTTATTTAACCCCCGCCCTTCTGGTCTGTTACTGTTTTGGCTTAAAACTACCTTTTCTGATTCCTCAATGGCTTAAAGCTACTCTAATAATAAAAATAAAAGCCCCACCAGGGCTTCACCGCACACATATACCGTCCATCCGCGCATTCCTTCACTGCGATCAGTGTTCGCTCTTTACGCACACTGCCCTGAAGCCATTTTGGGACAGAGCCAGACATGCGAAGGCCCCGGGGTAAAAAAACAGCAAGGAAAATGCGCATTTGTGGTGGGGAGGGAGGAATTAAAAAAAAAAAAAAATCAAAATGTTCTTCCCTCGGGCTTTTTGGAAGGTTGGCCTGGGGAAATGAAAGTTTATTTCCACGTCTGTGTCTTTTCCCCCGCGGTGCCCACCGGGCCCTTCACATCTCTACTCAAAGGAGCGGCTCCTGCATCGTAAATGATGGCCACGTTCGCCCTTTACGCCGCGGCAGCGACTCGTCCTAAGCAGGCGAGCACCGGGAGGCCGCTGGCAAGCGCTCGCCGCCCCCCGGGCTTCCTCCGTGCAGGCGCCCCAAGCCCGGATCGCGGGCCCGGAGGCTGCAGGGGGCGCTGGGCAGCCCAGGGAGGGGGCTTGAGGGGGGCAGCCCATGCTGGACCTACTCGGAGGTCCTACTCCGCGCGCGGAGCCCATCCGGATTCCCGCCTCCCCGGAACGTTTTGAGAGTGCCCAGCGAGCGCAACCGGGCGGTGGGGGCGACACGTTGCAGACCCTGGGCGGCCCTCCAGCGCCCATTCACAGCCGGAGGGCTCGCGCGCGGGCGCACTCCGCGCCTGCCTCGTCCGTCGCTTCCCGAGCTAGCTGCTCTTCTCTAGCCGGCGACGCGCCCGACAGGGCGGCGGGCTCCCCGGCGGGCCCGCGGGGCGACTAACGCGGCGCGGCTCGGCGCACCTGCTCGGAGCTTCAGGGCGGCCCGCAGCGCTCGGCAGGCGGCGCCCCGGACCTCGGCGGCCCCGCCGGCGCCCCCCGGGCGGTAGATGGCGGCTTGCAGCGTGTCCAGGTGGCCCGGCCGCCGGGCGCGGAAGACCCGCCGGAGCAGCGCCTCCAGCCGCAGGCGCGCCTCCTCGTCGTCCGGGCGCTCCGCGGGGGCGCCGCCGCAGCACGCGTGCCCCGCGCCCGCGTCCGCGACCACC